CACAAAGGCATTCATACCAAAACAAACCACCATTACACGTTTTGAAGTCCCATAATATCAAGTCAAATTAAAATTTTGCTAAATTATTAAGTGTAATTATTAATAGATGGCAACACGTATCGTACCTCTTGGACAGGCCATAATCTTTATACTAGTCGGCCATGGTCGTACAATAATAGAACTTCTAGTAATACCCAAACCATCTATGACATGTTTGCGGATTATTTCCAGACTATATATATAGAACATCCTGCAGATGAAAAGATCAATAATGAATCTCAAATAAACTAATTATTTCAACTTCCCATTACTTTAACTAACATAAACATTACTTGCGACAAGATTTTTACAAAATTAGTTAATCTAAAATCAAACACAAATCCCGGACCTGATGGTATTCCGGCCTATTTCTTAAAATAGTGCAGCCCACAGCTGGCTTACCCTCTCCCTAAAATATTCCAGTCTCTGATTGAAAACAGTTATTCTCCATCCCAGTGGAAAATTTCATATATATTACCACTCTTTAAAAATGGAGAGAAATCTCTAATCGATAACTACCGTCCTATTTGTTCTATTTCTACTATTTGTAAGGTATTAGAATCTATAATATCTGACACCATTATGACTTCATACAAAACTGTCATAAGTGAGGCACAACATGGATTTTCCCGAAACGAAGCACAACTTCAAATTTGTTAGTTTATCAAAGTTACATAAATAAAACAGTTGAAGCAGGTTATCAAGTAGACACAATCTATACTGACTTAGGAAAAGCCTTCGATCGAATCAATATTGAATTACTGTTAAATAAACTTGTAAATTATGGCGTAGGGGGCAAGGTTTTTCAGTGGTTAAAATCTTATCTAAAAGAACGAACACAATATGTAAATGTCAACGACACATCATTCCAAAGAAATTAAAGTATCCTCTGGAGTACCCCAAGGAAGTCATCTAGGACCGATTTTGTTTCTTCTTTATATAAACGACTTAACCCAATATTTCACCCTCTGTAAATACCTCTTATTCGCGGATGATTTGAAATTGTTTTAAAAAATTCAAGATGAAAGTGATCATATTAAAATCCAGAGTGATTTGATAGCTCTACAGTCTTGGTGTGGAAAAAATCTGATGTATCTGTATAGTGGAAAATGTAAAGTTATTACCTTCAATTAAAAAAAGATCCTTATTTAAAAGATTACTATGTTGATAATAATAAGGTCCTAAGGACCAACAGTGTCTCCGATCTTTTAGTGAGCATATGGAAAACATAATTAAAAAATCAAATCAAATGTGGGGATTCATAAAAAGACAATGCAGAGATTTTAAAAATTACATAGCTATTATGAAAATTTATTGTTCTTTGGTCCCTCCTATCCTAGAATATAATTGCATAATCTGGAACTCCTATTACAACATTTATATAAATCGGCTTGAAAGAGTTTAAAAACACTTTGTAAACTTTTTATTACCTATTAAAAATGAAAATAGATCAAAACAAAATAATATATCAAGAACGCTTAAGGCTTATAAGACTTCAATCCTTAGAAGTACGTCGTCGTAATTTTGAAATAACGTTTGGTTTTACTTTGTTACACAACCTGATTGATTCCAATGAACTTATGACCAAATTCAATTTTAGAGTACCATCTCATTCGACTCGATATCAAGAGTTACTGGTTGTAGATTCACACAGAACCAATTATGGTTATAACACGCCAACTACTAGTATTATGAGACAAATAAATAGCTTGCCACATGATTTTGATATTTTCAATTGTACTCGAAAACAGCTTATGCGTTTGCTAGGAAAAATTTAAATTAAATATTTAGTTTTATAGTTAGTTAGATTTAGGTACTAATCACTAGAGAGCGGAAAATATGCAGCAAAATTTTAGGAAATATGAACATATAATATACATCAAATTTATGCAAATATGCAAAGCGTAATAACCGTACTAAATTTATTTACAAATTACAAAAACAGATTTCCCGAGCTTACGTTTTCTTACAAAAATACATAAATCACATTGCAAAGTGTTTAATTACATCTCAGTAACACATAAATCACATTTTTAAGGATAATATTCTTCTACTAAAAAATAAATATAAATAGAAGAAATTGAAAAATAGTAGTAATCGACTATTTAATTACTATTTTGGTAACAATTTCTTTTTTAATATTTTTCGAAATATTCTAACAAAAAGTTTTTCCGGTGATTCTAAAGTACCTATGTATGCTGCGTACTTCGTCCACAGATGTAAAAATCCTTACCGGTTTAGAGCAGGCGCGATAAAACAGAGTTACTTCTTGAAGAATAAGTTTAAGAAAAGGTTTAATCCATAAATTAATTTGAATTATCTTCGAGATATTGACACACCTGTACCCCTTTAAATGCTTTCAATGCAAACTAACGATGAAAAATAACAGGATAACGTCCCTTCGACCACCACAAAACATACCATTAATACACTAAGTAACCAACAAAAATATTGGGAATGAAAAGTATTTAGAAAAGTAATTAGAGCCCGAATTTACCCAGTCTAAAAATTAAAAGTTTTTTTAAAAAACTGATGTTAACATTATGTCGGAAAAAGTCTCTATTAAATAAAAAAGACATATCATCAGATACTCTTAACGATTTCTTAATAGGGATAGTTTGTTCAGGTTCTTCGTTTTTTGCCATTTTATGCTGTGCAAAAATATAGATCAATTTATTTTATCGGTGATTAGATTTGTTTGTCTACGAGATGGTATCTCTAGTATTGTGTAGATCGCTTTATTTTCGTAGAATTCTCTTCGATAAGGAAATTATTGAAGTAGGTGTCAAGGAGGAGAACAACACTTTTATTTATCTCTGAATAATATACTTTCGTCAACGATCACTTAAAATGTTTTAATAATCTGTAACTGATTTCGTCTTTAAGCAGTTGTTGAGCAATTCTTTTCTTTAAAATTTTAAAATAAGATAAAAATTCTCATTTGCGGCTGTTTGTCTAGCTGTATGTCAGTGATTTCTCAACAAGCAATAACAACCCAAAAATTTTAGATTCGATTTGCGGATATTATTTAAATATAAAAACTTTCACCAAAATTTGTTTATTCATCCCCACTAAAAACGGAATGACGTCATGTTAATATTTTACTGAACAAATATGTAGATTTAAAAAGGTCGCTGTAATACTTATGTTGCGATTACTTATTAATACAAACTTATTTTTAACGTTGTGTATTAGCTTTTTGTGACAAAATTCAAAATCTGACAACAATTGTACAATTTCTCTTAGAAATTCCATCGACTGTTTTTTTAAATGCTTTATCCATTCCAAAAATTAATTAATTACTGAAGCTATTTATTTTACTAGTTAGTAGTTAAGTAAAAAACAAGTTTTTAATTTTTCTGAAATTTTTTGAATATAGAACTGTTGTTTGACAGTACTACGTTGTACCCTTCTAAATTGATATATTTGTCCCTACTTAGAAGTTGACGAATGATGACCATAGAACTTTGACAAAATTGTATGTCTTTATTCGCTTCAAATCAGTGATGACGTATTCTAAAAAAAAGACAGGAAAAAAATGTTTATTAGAAGATATGCGTTTTGGTTTTCTTAATAAACTCTTCCATTATTTGAATGACAATTTTTTTCCCCAAAAGTATTTAACCACTCGTTCATTATATCTAAATCTGCTTTGTCATTTCAGACTTCGAAAACATGACCATCTTCGACATATGTGTCCTTTCCTGGACCCACATCTCCCTCTCCGTCTGTCTGTGTCGATTTTTATTATTATAAAATCAGAACAATGAAAAATCCAAAAATTGTAAAAATAAAGAAAATAAAAAACCGAAACAAAAAATTTGCAAATCGAAAATTTGAAGAAATAAAAATATTGAAAAAATCGAAATGAAAAAGTGTATTGAAAAAGTGAAATGTTTTAAAAATTATTGTTATTATTACACATTTAAAACAAAAACTAGAAAAATTGTCAATTTAAAATTAAAAAAACGAAAAATTAAAAAATCGGAAACTGAAAAATTGACCACCTATAAAAAAATTATAAAAATCAGAACTTTGAAAAACCAAAAAAAATGAAAAAACCAAGAAAATAAAAACAAAAAATAAAAAATTAAAAAAAAAATATATAAAAAACAAAAAATTATAAAATTAGAATTTTGAAAAATCGAAAAATTGTAAAAATAAATAAAAATGAAAAACCGAAACAAAAAATTGAAAATCGAAAAATTTAATAATCCAAAAATCGAGAAGTCGAATAAATGGAAATTTTTGAAATCCAATAACTGTAAAATGGAAAAGCTTTAAAATTAGAGAAAGTGAAACATTTTAAAAAATTGTTATTACATTATTACTCATTTAAAACGAAAACTAGAAAAATTGCAAATCTAAAACTGAAATAATGAAAAATTAAAAAATCTAAAACTGAAAAATTGCAGTTCGAAAAATTGAAAAATCCAAAAATTGATTAATTTCAGATCGAAAAAAGAAAAATTATATACTCAGAATATTGAAAAACCAAAAAATTGAAAAAAAAATTAAAAAATCGAAACGAAAAATTGCAAATCGAAAATTTGAAGACAGGAACTGAAAAATTAAAAATTAAACACTCCAGAAATTTTAAAATGAGAAACAAAAATTGCAAATCGCAAAAACTGAAAAAATTTAAATTTAAAAATAAAAAATTGTAGAATCGTAACGTTGCAAAGTGTAAAAATTGAACAATTCAAATTTGGAAAACTGAAACATTAAACTTAAAAACTCGAAAAACTGCAAATCGAAAACTGAAGAATAAAAAAAATGAGGAAATGAAAGATTAGTTCAAGTCAAAAAAGACTTCTGTTACTGACGCCACTGGTTTTTACTTTATAGATGTTATCAGAAAAGAAAAATCGAAAGAACCTTCCATCAATTTTTTTGACCGTGGTGGTTGTGTGTTTTGATAAAATCATCATTTGTCCTCATCGTAATGTCATTGTTGTTAGGTGAGTGGTGATTTCGGAAGTCTGGACGAATTAGATGACGTAGAGGAATTGCTGGCTGGCCCTAGACGAAAATCTCGAGACCAAAAATCGCCCACTAATCTCATGATGAATTTAGTGGTAAAAATAGCGACTCGAAAACGAAATCCGTTTCCAAGGACTCTTCCAGGGACAAGGAGAAGAAAATGTCGGGTGTATTTAACGTGAGTGCGTCAAAAAACAAGTCGTCCGTGAAAGTGAAACCGCTAGATTTGAACGCGGACAAGTTGAGCGGGGTCCAAGATGGGCTGCCTTCCCTTAGTTCGACGGATGTGTCGAAGTCGTCGAATTCGAACCAAGCCTGGTTAGGAACAAAAAGGGATCGCTTTCGGCGATCGTAGATAAGTTGAAATCATCAGCGTAACCATTGATATAACATATAGATAGACCCATGCTATTGTTTGGAGCGAACAGGCCAAAGGCCGGCGAACAAGAGATGGCGCACCAACATTCGACCCTCAAACGAAAAGCTTGGACACCAATCACGCGCATAGGCAACCCAAATCACAGCAACAATATATTTAATAAATCTACCACTCGATAGAGGGCGACGAAAAAAATGTGTAAAAATCTCATAGTAAGCATTTATATAATTTACAACGTTACCAGATGAGCCTAACACAACTTTGCCGTTATTTCTAGTCAAGTAGATTTTATTTCGTTTAAAAGTTTCTGATAAATAAATTGGATTATTATAATGAATAAAAATAAATAATACAAACACATTATTACTTGTTATTTTAAATATTTGTTAGTGCTAACATTATTATAAATACGGTCCGGTAACTCAAATTTTACAGTACGAGTGAGATGTTTCAGGACGAGGAGAAAAGTTCAAATCGAGTCACTTTTTCTGACATCGTTAATAACCGTTGTTTGGCAAATGTTTTAATTTGTTTATTCGTGCAGATCAGCATCAAAAATGTTTAAACACATAGTAACACTTTACAGGACTTGTCCTTTTTAGCTCAATTTTACCGGACTTGTCCGTTTTTTTTTTTATTTTACCGGACTCCTTCGAATCCAGTAAAACGTCAAATTTGATACAGTATGAAGTAAAATAAATGTAAATAACACATTGGAATTTTTTTCTACGTTTTCGTGTGCTCGCTTTTGTTACTAATATTACAAAGAAAAATGCTTTTAAATGCGTTTTCTCAAAACTTACTATATTTTTTTAGAAAATTTATTAGACTAGAGACAGGCAGATATCTACTAAAGACAAAATATATGCATTCATATGTATCTTAAAAAACGGGTAACATATGCTGCATAAAGTCAAAAATAAGACATTCTCTTTTACATTTTATGATGTAAGTACAATTAAGTATATCGAGAACTCGCTACTGAAAATTTATTGAAATATAATTTGTGTTAAAAAAAGATTTTTGAGGTTTTATGGTTTATTAACATAATTTACTTATGTAAATTAAATACTTTTAATACATAGTACAAGTTCTTGATATTCTTTATTTTTACTCCAAGTAATAATTGTGTTCCCTTTAGTTTTAACCAAGAAAATTTTTCGGTTATTATCTAACATACTTTTGTACATTAAGAAACTCCATTCCACGTCGCAGGACGTTACACGACAATATTTAAATAAATAAAGAAGTCGTTTTTATGTGTTTTAAAATTCACTCTGATTTCCGGACTTTAGACTTTTTGGTGTTTCACTTCGGCACAAAAACTACTCGTATCCCAAAGAAAACAAACAGTGGAATATAGTGTACGGTACCTATATTTCATAGTAAAAATGTCGATCCGGTTTAAAATTCTACCCACCTAATTACGTTAACAAACTAAAATTTTCATTGAAGAGACAGACTGTTCTAGGAAACTTCACTATATAAATCTCTTCATTTACGAGCTACTGAAAGACCGCCGGTCTCACTGATACTTCTTACCTGGCTCCTACGAATGAAACGAAAAATGCACAGATTGGAAATATAGTAAATGGGGTAGTATACCTACATATATATATGTATGCGTAATATGTCGTTAGACATTAAGTATTTTGCAAATAAAATTTATTTCATTGAAAACAGAAACATTAAAAAACATATCTGTTCAAGTTTGGAATCGACATGGCCAGTTGTTTAGAATATGCAACATTGCTGGTACATATAATGCTAACCCACCTCCTCTAGATGGACGATCTTGACGTATCATATTATAATTAGGAATAGAAATTATAGAGTCTAATATAAGTGGTTGAAGCCATGTCTCTGTTACGGCAAAAACAGAGAGGTGATTTTGAAGAACGAAGTTTCTAAAGATATCAAATTTGTTGACTAGGCGATCTTACATTCATATGAAAGAATATGAGCCTTTTACATTCTCTGTTAAGATTAAAATTATTATTATTAGTTTGTACACAATTTACGTAGTTAAAGTATTGAGATTGGTTTGGGGAAAATTTTGTTTCATATGCGGCAGGAAATATTTATTTACATACGTATTTGCTGGCCAGAAGTCAGGAGTCAGTAGAACAGTTTGATGTATGAGAGGAGCTCGTTTTGTGAACACACTAGACGTACCTACTTCTTTTGTTAAGATGTTCAGATTTTTCGACAATAAAATTGGCTTCACTATCAAGTTCATGTAGGACATCAAGAATATCTTGGACAGTTTGCTACATAAATCCAGCAGTGTTTTTCAACGGGGTGAAGTTTGGCTCTAGCCCCCGTAAGAGGATTCTGGTTGCAGGAAATAAATTTTTTCCTAGATTTTATCTGAGTATTTCTTTGCTGATTGGATGAGACACGCAGATTAGATGCGACACCATGTTGTGTTGTGTCATTTTTATTATAGGTCCTGACATTTTGAGAGATATTGGGAAAGTTTTTAGGTAATTGAGAAGAAAGTTTTGTAGTTTCAACTGGGTGTTCATTGATATCATCAAGATGTTTCCCTGTTGCATCAAGATGTTTATTAAGATCTTCATATTGTTCGAAAGGTTGCGAAAAAAGAGAACAGGCACCATTCTGACCATAATTATAACTTTCCACATCAGCGACATCTTGACGGTTTGAAGACTTTGGGCGCGCAGTATTACCAGCATCTGAGCTAACTGAAGATTCATCTCCACCATCAAGAATAATCCCAGTGGCACGTAGACTAGAGTAGCGATGGTTTTTGTTAGGATCTTCTCTGTCTGTATTAAAAGCATCAGCTGACCGGCTGAACCTCGCGATAAGGTTTTTCTCTTCATAGGTTTTTGCAGCGAGCGATAATCTTCGATTGTCACCTGTAGTAGTTTTTTGCTTACGGGACATTGGCGAAGTAGAGCGTACTTTATGCAACTCGTTTTTTAAGAATGTGATATCTGGCTGCAGAAGACTAATTAGAGTAGTTTGTGTTTCTATTAGGGACTTACAGTTGTTGATTTCATTAGATAATTTGGAGATATTAAGTAGATGAAGAATCACATCCACAGGAAAAAGTCTTAAAGAAGTTGTTTAAACAAACATTTACAGCACTTATTATTTCACTGTCACCAGTCACACCCTTTTTAGGTTTTGAAGGCATATTGAACAATTTGTTTATACACAATTCAGAGAAACCGGCGGTACAATGTGCACACCGTGGTAGTCAGAACAGAAAGAAAAATAATTATATTTCGATTATTCAGTTTTGGCTTCGATAAGGTGGCAAGTGTAGACTCCGACATTCACTATGAGTCCTTTAGTGCTAAATTTTTTTTGAGAATGTATAGTTTATGAAAAAAATGTTGGGATGGTAACAAATTTACTACAGAACTTTACATATTTTGTTCGTATTGCAATTAGAAACATTCAAAATCTTCTAAAATCTGTTTGACGTGGTCCTTTGTCTATTGAATAGACAGTAATTAGAACTGTTAACAAAAGGGTGCAACTTACCTTATTAGGAGAGAGTTGGCCAGTAATTCTAATAAAATTGACTAATCTTTCATTAAAACGGAGAAGGACGTTTTCGTTTATTGGAAGTTCAACTTGTAATTGTTGTCGTCGAATTACTAACGGAAACGGTTTTAGTACAGGTTTATTTACAATACCAACTACAAAAATGATAACACGGCCCAAGGTTGTATGTGTATGTCCACGTGGAGGTCTTGAAGAGGAGAGGACGTCTGCACACGGTGAGTGGTCGGAGAAGAAGAGGACGTCTGCACCCGGTGAGTGGTCGGAGAAGAAGAGGACGTCTGCACCCGGTGAGTGGTCGGAGAAGAAGAGAGTCTGTTTTACGTTTCCACCGTGGCGTTTCCTCTTTGGGCTTGCGCGTTGTAACTGCCAATCCGGTGGCTGCATTATGTATGTATAACTGGTTGCATACTTCCAGGCGGCCACAAACTCTTTCCCAGCGCGACCAGTCGTCGGAAGTTTCTATACTAGATATAAATTTGTAAAATTGCAACTTAACCTTTACCCGTGAAATCATGTATGGCTGATCTAAAACGAAAATGTTATTTTATATATATATATAAATAATAGCAAATTTACCTAAACACAGACACATAGTGAATGCATCACGCGTCCCCCTATGTTGATAAATAAAAAAAGTTTGAAAACCGTTTCTGTCTACAACATCCGGATAAATTTAACCTATCCCACTCAAATGAGTGATTGTTGTAAAATTATTTCAGATACAAATCACAAATATATTTTTCATTTATTTAAATTGTTGCAGATAAAATTCTATACATATGTATGTTCTACGTGTGTTAACGCATTATTATCGTACTCGTGTGACCACAGAATTTTGCTTACCTATATTTCCTTGTGAGCAAACTTCACACATGTAGATAGTAGTGCTTCCACGTATAACGTAAACAATCATTAGGTACTTTTAACATGTAACTACTATTTTTGTTTGTTCTAATGGTATGTTTACATATATTTTATTTCTAAAAATTGTGACATGTATCTCAAAGTGATAAAAGAAACGATCAAACTTTATACATTAGTCCATATACAGTGAAATCTCTCTTCGGTGGACAGCTTCGGAACTGAGGAAAACCCGTCCTCTCATTTGTGATGTCCGTTAATGAGAAAAAAATGAAATGTATAAGTATTTCGTTTTTACAAGCGTAATAACTAAGCCTATATTAAAAAGAAAATGAACTTTTTGGAATACTAAAAATGAACAGAAAACAGTTCAGTGTAAAATTAACTAATCATTAAAATAATCCAGTTATGTAGTTTGACGGTTGCTGGATTTAAATAAAATATTTGTAAAGTGTATTTCCACGAAAATAACTATTGTATAGTAAGTGTAGAAAAAACGATTTTTGAACATTGATACATTATGTGATGAGTGGTTTACAAAAATAGAAAAGAAATCACTGCATCAGATAACTTAATGCATATGCTAGTATTTTTTACCAAATATCAGACTTTTAGGAGCTGTAATTCGAGCCAAATGAAAAGTTTAAGAAATGGAAATTCCATGCTTCAGTTGGTTAGCTTGAAAAATTTGTAAACGCCTTAACATTTGTTTTAAGGCTATTTCTGGTGAACCAGCAAGTGTGGACCAAGATGTAGAAACTTTCATAACCAAGAATCCTCGATTTTTGAAAATCTAGTTGCCAAAAAATATCTATAACGCAAATGAAACGGGTCTCTTTTTTATAAACTCTTACAGTGAAGTAGAAAAATTGTGTTGGTGGAAAAATGTTCTAAAGAAAAGTAACAATAACATTGTGTCAGCATGATCAGGAAGAATGAGAATAATTATGTTACGTGTTAACAGCAGTAATTTAGAAGAGTTCTTTAAGATACATAACAATTTATTAATAGTAAATCTGACGAGTCAAATGAGGAACAGCTAGCAAATTATCAACAGTCTATTGATGTGGTAAAGGATTTACAACAATCTGTCAACTATCAGAAAGTTACTAAAGCGTTGAAAAAGTAATTACTGAACAATCAATCAGACAGAAGTAGCTTCCTTTGGTTGGTTTAGAAATTTTTTACGTATCATTTTTAAGTGTAGAAAAAGTATAATGTGCAATACGTTTGAAATTGGCGTTTTTCATACTCCTTTGACTGCTAAACGTTACACTCATGTGAAAAGGGTATTTTCAAAACTTGTTGCACAATATAGTGTTACGCCAGTATTAAAAAAAGAGTGTCACATATTTAATAATACCGCCTGTTTTAGTTTCCCCCATTTTAATACCTTTGGACACGTCTTTAAGAGTTAATATGCACCCTTTTAAAGGCGTTTTTCTCAATATTAAGTAAAAGGTAGCATAAATAGCTAATGTACATTGTTTAAACACTTGTCTGTATATTTGTGCTTCAAAGAAATGTTCCAATCGAAATCGATGTAAAAACCAGAGGGCGTTCAGAACTACTGTTCAAAGGTATCCGTGTCCACCCAGCGAAGGGTCCGTTTATGAGAGGTTCATATAAATATATTTTTTTATATTGTCAGTACCCGGACTATGAAAAAATGTTCGCCTTAAAAGAGTTGTCTGCTTATGGGGGGTGTCTGCAAGGAGAGATTTCACTGTAGTTTCATAAAAAAAAAAATGGAAAATGTAAAATTCTTACCCTAAAAAATTTATACAGGTTTCAGAAGTTATGACGTTTGAAAAAGGGAAGACAATTTGGTTATGTATTTTAGGAACCTTACTGCTCATGTAAACTTGAAATCTACTAATTCTGGTTCTATCGTTCTACAAAGAAATTCATAGAATTATATTTTCAATTTGGTGAGTAGACAATTAGTCAAGATTTGAAACTTGACAATGTGTAACTAATAGTAAATACGGAAGTAATAGATTTTTAACTTCTTATCTCACTTTTGAACGAATGGCTATTTTTAGACGAAATTTTGAATCTGATTTACGCGCCTTCACATTTCAGTTGGCAACAGCGCTTCGGACGTTATTTTTATTTGTTTCAGTATCTATGGTTACTCGTTAATAAAAAAAAGACAAATGCTTAGGAATAAAACAAACGCGTTTTCTTTAAATGAATAGTTCGACATGCATACCATATGCTTTCTCTACTTGACAAGATTAGAAATCGCTACTAAATTTTAGCATCTAGTAGGAATCACATATTTTTATCTTTCGATTATTGGAAGTTGAAATTTGTGGCACCGACCGCTCTGAATCTAAACACCGTTTACGACTATGCACTCGACTCAACCACGCCCCTAGGTTCGAAAGTATCGCTAAGCAGTGGCGGAGCAATTTGGTTTACATCCATCAAGGAGATGATTATGAAAACTAAGTGTCTTTCCAAGACTGTTTACTTTCATTCAAGATTTACAAAGCTTGCAGCTCACCATGTTGAGTTTATTAAAAAAAAGACACATTAAGTATAAAGAAAAATAAATGGTATGTACGGTGACACGATCGGTATTTGTAGGTCTGCTCGCACGTGCGCATAGCCCATAAACCTATCGTAAACGATGTTTGCGGTGTGATTTTCTCTCAAAACCGTACCATTGGAAGCATACGACATGGTCCCCTTGTTCTTATTCCAATCTCCTCGACGTACAGTTATTTTATCTTGCTTAGGGCTAGCTTACAGAATAGTTTAATTCAGATTAAGTTAATTATGTTTTTAATGAGGCGTTTAGTGAGGTCTAATTGGCGTAGAGTCTGTCACGTGGTACTTTAATGCCGCATTAAAAATTTATCCGGAATCAAATATTTAACTGACCTTCTGTAAATCGGCTCTTAGTTTAGTAAAATTATAATATATACCTTTAAGACTATCCTAATGTACCTAGCCTGTTGTTCTTCAAAATATAAGTTTTGAATGCACTCGCAATAATATTTGCTGTAATCTACAACATTATGCCACTTTTGAAGGTCTGTTGAAACTTCTATGTAGTAATAGGGCCACGAACGTCTACAGATATTTACGTATCATCTCAACAAAATCATTAAAGGAACTCAGAAATAACGGTACTTACTTAATAATTACATACATTGTTATGTAATTGAAGCATTTTACGGCACCAAGATCTACAGTAATACCGTTTTTATCGTCCACATTGTGATAAGCACCTTCTTCAAACTTTTCTGTTTCTTCAAACAACATTGCGGTATTTAATCCAAAAATAACTTTCACATTATTTTCTGCTGTAGCAAGATTTTTACCTTTCCCTAAAAATGTATACAAAATTTCTGACTTGTCTCTTAATCAGTCTTCGTACTTACACCATCCAGCAAAGCGTCGTTGTGTTTCTTTCGGACCGTTAACTTCAATCATTGCAAGAGCATTCAACAGTTTTGTTTCATCTACTATTTTAGTCGTCCAAACAACAGTTAAAATTTCATTTCGCGTTAACGTAGAAAATCGAATGCATTCAATAACCAAGTTGTCCAAGTCTTCATGAAACTTGCACCAGTTTGCCGCTATCTTAAAGACATTAATTTCTTCAACAGGAAACGCATCTCTTTTCAACAAGTTAATCATAGATTTCTGAAATGCATCATTACGTTTAAGTATACCTAGCTTTTTGGAGATGTTACTTGTGTGAGAATATTGAAAAAATCATATTCTAACTTTTGCGAAACATGTTTATCAATAAAAGTATGACATATTTCTCTTAACTCGTCCATGTCATGTGCGTTGGCTTTGTTTAGAAGGGAACAAACATTTGACAAATTCACAATGGAATTCATTTTTTCGTTTATACTCTTTTCCAGTGTTTTTAATGAATATTCGTGCGCTAATTTCAGTATATCGGATATATTATTTTCGTCTTCCGATGCGATGACAATGGATCCTGCAACAAATTTTATACATGATATAAATATTTAATGACAATTTTGGCTGACTACCTGTATAAATGTAATACAGTATTGTTTCAAAAGCTTTGGAAGGCACATTCTGTAAAGCAATTTCAGCCTAAAAAAAATTTATTAATGTTAACATTTCCATGAACACTCTCTTACTTGTTTTGGGTCTATCATTAAAAGAGACTCAAAATATTTGCACCTAGCAGCGAGTACAATCTGAAAGTTAAAATTTATTCAGAAGTTAATCTTTTTGTAAACCACTGCATAAAGCTACTTTGTGCGCATGAATTATTTTGTCGGATAGGATTAGTTGAATGTCGGAAAACGTTTCCCTCAAGTAGTAAGGTGACATATCTTCATACATCTTCAAAGAATCAGTAATAATTATTTTTTGTTGGGGTTCTGCTTCGTTTGCCATTGTGGTTCGTAGAAATCTAAAAATATTAAGACAAGGAAATATTTTAGCGGTGGCTGAAACAAAGTTTCTGGTGCGATTGCAACGTGATTACTGATTTCATTTAAATGTTGCCGTTACCCCTTTGGAACGACTTACACGTATCTATAGGTTTGTTAACTTACTGATAAACTGATAAAGAAATGTTTGAATTGACTAGAACACGTGATATTTTTCAACTGTTTTAAAATTAGACCTAGTTGGGTACACCCTATATTTTTAATCCATACTCACTCTTTTAATTATTTAATTTTTATTATTGTAAAGTGCGATATGATGTCTTAAAAGTTTGGCGGGGATGGACAAAGAAATTTTTGTATTTTTGAAGTATTGTTTAGTTCTGTGCCAAAGGGGAAAGAACTAAGAAATTGTCAAATTTTTAAAGAAACTCTAAAATTTAAAAACTTTACGTTGAAAATATATATTTATAAGAATTTGGTCAGTAATTAGGAAGGACTCATATGTTTCTAAGAAACAACATAAGTTGGAATAATTACTCTCCAAAAATGTCGTTTTAAGAACTTGAAACAATTGTTTAAAAATTTCCTACTGGCATTAATGCATTATTTACTCCTAGCTGACCCCGTGAACTTCGTTTCACCTACAATTTAATTTTGAATCTGCAAAACCGAATGCTTTGAAATCTTATAGATGTTTTCAACATATGAATTTTTATTCAAAATAATTTACTTATCCCCTCCAAAAAATTGATGACGTCAGCCCAAAATTTTGCCAAATGAATCCTATCTAAAATGTCCAAAATAGGATGAGACTATACTTGTGATTTATCATTCCATTCATATTTTTTAGTTTTGATTATAAGGGGTGTCTCAAAAAAATTAATCACTGAGTCTATATATTTTATTGATTGAATCAAGAATTGCAAAACTGAATTTTGAATTATTGCAGACGTTTTGAAGTTACTGTTTGACATGGTAGGTTTTTAATCAAAATATATCTGTTTATCAAGCCCAAAAACTTGATGACGTCATTTCAAGATTTTACCGAATAAATCCTATCTAAAATGTGCAAAATATCGTCAGTATATTTTCGTAATTTATCATTGCATTCATATTTTTTAGATTTGCTTTTACAGTGACTCAAAAAAATGTATGGATCAGTCAATTTATTTTAGTGAATAACACAAGAGTTGCAGAAATGAATACTTTGAGATCTTGTAGATGTTTTAAAGTTATTGTAAGAATGGTAAATTGTTAAGAATATTTATTTATTTCCCCTAAAAAATTGATGGAACGGCTCACTCGATTTTCGCAGATAATTTTGGGAATACAATACAGTTATTTTTAGTACTGTACTGTGCCAAACCAAGGTGGTATACGTGTTGATCGTAAATGTTGATTAGGCCATCACAAAATTGTGTGAAGAAAAGACTCAACTCGAAAATGCTGAATATGTTTCATTATACTTTTGGTTCGAAGGAAGTTCTGTCGAAACAACGTTCGAACAATTTTTTGACAATGGTTGATACAAATAAAACTCAGTAGATGCTCATACTCGAAATACGAAGTATCTACTAGAATATCAAATCAAAATATTTCTAGTTTTTCTAGATGTGCTAATACTTCAGTAGGTAACAGTTGATGCTCAAGTATCATCTCGATACAACAAAAACGGAAAACAGTGACAGTGTTCAACCATCAAAGCAAAAATCGAGTCACCAAAATATAAGTTAGTATGGCGTAGACAACTTGAGATGGGAATCTCTATGGCCAGTGTTAGAAAAAAAGCACTGCACAATTTATGCATAAATAAAAGTTAATTACCTGAAAAATTTTCGATAGTCTCGCTCCTAATGTGTTCTTTAAACTGAATATACCTTTTGACGACGTTCACTCTTACAACTATCCTACTCGTTTTCTAAGCTGCTTGACAGACAGCTCAGTCATTTGCCACGCGGATGCTCATTTTTAGATACATTATTATTTTAGAACAAATTTCATTCCCATAAATTAGGTTATACTGAATCGACCTTATGCTGTCCCGGACTTTTCTTTAGAACTTTTAGAGGGGAACAATTTCGTCATACATTATTTTTACGTAACTTTAACCATTTAAGCAGCGTAAGCAACGGAAGCTGTCAAAGGAGGAATAATTTTCCCATTTTTCAGAATTTTTCATTGCTACTTCGCTCCTATTGATCGTAGCGTGATGTTATATGGCCTATATGTAGATACGATAAATGGACTATCCAACACAAAAAGATTTTTTGAATTAAAACTAGTAGTTTCTGAGATTAGCACGTTCAACTAAACAAACACTTCAGCTTTATAATATAAGTATAGAAGTATAGATCAAAATTACGAAACTTTTTTAATAGCACTGTACAATAATCACAATCACATGAAATATTTATGATAAAGTTTATTTTGTGTTGTGCATATCATAGTACAAAATAAACTGCTCGAGAAAATGTTAATGTATGTGATTATTTTCAACCCGTTCCGTTGCATATTTTAATATTTCCTTTAGTGGTTCAATATAACATATGAAATATACAAAATAGATTATTTATAATAAACTGATTTTTATTACTTTCAACCAACGTGCTTGTCTGAGTTAAAGGGAAGAATTTTCATCAGGATGTTTGAAGCCACTTCTGTCATTTTTACAGACCAGTCTAACCTACTTCCCGGTTACTTATTCCTAATCTATAACCCACCTGCTTTTTCTTCAATGGATTTTTGAAAATTTGTTTTGGACTTTGCATTTTCAACTTGACAGTAATCTCACAAGACGAAAAGTCTATAAAGAACAAATCTTCAAGTAGCTGTTTTGATCGTCGTTTTGTTGCACTCTCGGTACTACCGACCGATGAATTTTTTAAGATTTGTCTTTGATAAAATTTTCGTCTTGTCAGATTGCAGTCGATTTGAAAAATTGAGTTTAAAATTCAACAATTAAATGTAAAATCTTCAAAAATCTATGGCTGTCTTTGATCATATGTTTTATTCCTTTCTCGATACAAGAGATGTGTGGGACCAGTCGAGGACGATGCTTGGTGAAGTTTATGAAAAAACCATTATAGGATGTTAAAAAAATATACTGAAGGTGTTTACAGATTTGACTGGTATTGACTGCAATTAGAAACATTCAAAATCGTCCAAAAACTGTTGGATGTGGACGTTCGTCTATTGAGTATACATCAGTCATTAAAACTGTTAACAAAATGATGTAACTTGCCTTATTAGGAGAAAGCTGACCAATAACTCTTATAAAAGTGACTATTCTTTCGTTAAAACAGAGAAGTATGTTTTCGTCTACTGGAAATTCAACCTCTTCCCACTGCATGTTGTCTGTGGAAGTTGCTATACTAGATATGGATTTGTAAAATCGTAAGCTAGTCTTTATCCGTGAAATCATGTATGGTTGATCTGAAACGAAAATGTTATTTCTTTTTATAAATTATAGCAAACTTACTTAAATAGAGATACGTAGTGAATGAACCAGACGTCTGCCTATGTTGATAAATAAAAAAAAGTTTGAAAAGAGTTCCTGTCTACAACACTGGGATAATTTTAATTTATTCTACTCAAATGAATGAGATAGATGTAGAATTATTTCAAGCACAAATAAAGATATTTTTCATTTAACTGATTTTAAATAAGTAAATATTAAAGTTGCAGTTAAAATTTAAACAACCACCACGTACATTTAACATGCAACTATTTTTGTTTGTTTTATAGTGGTATGTTTACATATGTATATTTCATTCCTAAAAATGATTTTCGACCAATTTCTATATTCTCATCACGCGAACTATGAAAAAGCGATGATTTCACTGTAGTTTCACCAAAAATTTAAATAAAAATTCGAAAATGTAAACATACCATTAGTTAAAACCTAAAACATCTTACCCTGACGACAAAATAAAATGTTCAGAAGTTATGATGTTTGAAGAAGGGTAAACAATTGTGTTATGTATTTTAGGGACATCACTGCTCATGTAAACTTGAAATTTACAAATTCTGCCTTTAGAGTCCTACAAAGAAATTTATAGCATTATATTTGTAAGAGGGGTCGCTCCGTTCGGAACGCGGTTTCCATCACTGTTTTCAGCTTACAAAACTCTAGAAAATGCAGGAGAAACATTGTCGACATTTTCTCCTGTAGTTTATAATTAAGCTGAAAACAGTGGTGAAAACCGCATCCCGAAATTGCCATAAATAATCGAGATATTGGTTTTTTAATACACGGGATAAAAAATTTCACCAAAATGAAAAAAGATGATAAATTATTTTTATTAATGTATGAGACATTCCATTCTGAACATGTATTGATAACTCTGTAAAATCTGAAGCCAGTGAAGATTTGAAGCGTAGCAAGGTGCAATAGTCAATTTCTAACATTTCTGCCTATAATATGTTCTAGAAAACTTAGCTATTTTTCGACAAAATTCTGGATTAACTTACGCGTTTTCAGATTTTAGTTGGCAGCAGCGCTGCGGACATTTTAGTTAGTTTTCATTCGCCAACACGTTGTGTAAATTTGTTTTAGTGTGTAGAGTTTGTTGGGATTTTAATCGTTAACTGGTGCTAACACAATTTAACAGACATTAGATTTATTTAGATAAATCACTTGCTAGGAGATTTCATGAAATTTACTTGTGTGGCAGAGTTGGCTTCGCAATTTTTACCTCATACAATTTTTCTCTCTCACGATCTTAGCCTCAGTAATTTTCTTTGCTGTATAATTAAAATTGAACGTAAAATTTTCAAGCTCAGTTTCTAAACCTCAGGTAATTTTTTGTCTGCACAAATTTTATTTCACACCAGAGCTTTTTTTTGTTTTTATAAATCTTTGCTACTTTTTTGTTTTTTAAATATTTTGTTGATTGATAAAATTGTCTGCTGTCCAATTCTAATCTCAAATAAGAATTATTATTTGTTGTTTAAATTTTCACGAGAGTGTATGGCGAATTAAGTGTTGTTTATTGGTATTTTTGAAACTTTAACACTTGTTCAAATGTCGTTAATATCAGAGTCATAGAAATTGAACATTTAAATGGAGGGCGCGGTTCCTAGTCGAGCTGGCGGAATTTGTCGCGCTATCTGCACAAAGGATGAAGCCTTTGTATAAAAGTCAGGGGCGGTCGAGATGACGTGACACTGAGTTTGCGACCGTAACGGCCTGCTCGTACGGCATGTCTGTAATAGAAAAGTGCTTCGCAGCAGTGCTTGCGATAGATAGAATAACCGTTGTGGGTACAAGAACAGCCACGACCAGGAGCCCCAAACTCCGCTCGTGCTACAACGCCCCCTATGGGTATTTTTGTTGTGCTTTAGAATGAAATTGATATAGTTTGATCGCCACACTCTTGTAGCGCTCTGGTGCCCCTGCCGCTGCATAGTTTTTTTTTTAAATTTTGTTCTCTTTAATTTGATTTCATTCAAAGATTTTTTTTGGAGCTGAGCACCAAGGGGTGTCCTCAACCGGCAGCTTTTGTTTCTTTTTTTTGTCAGTGGAGGAATAAATAATTTCGTGTCCTCCAAATGGGGCCCACCATTGGCATCTTAACGCATCCCGCCATTTTTCAAAACACAACGTAGGGTTCTATTTTGTCAGACTATCACAGCCAAGGCCAAATTTTGAATTTTTGAATTTTTAGCGGGCCTTTCGAAATTTTTCAAGTGTCATGTAAGACCGGATGTTTGAGTTACTACAATGTGAGGTAAGTATGAAAATCGTATCTTATCTAAAACAAATAATAATGAAGGAGGACAAAATTTATTGTTTTTTGGTCGCTTTTGAGTACTAAAACTCTAGTTTTTTGCCGAAAAAGGTGTTTTTCTGTGATCTGTCATTAACATGTGTCATTAATGCATGATTTCTGTGTCAAAAACATTCAGTTAATATGACTGTTAATACATGATAGAGGCAACTATATGTACACCTGGTGCAATTAAATCATTAGGTGTATATTTGGTTGCAGAGTCTAATTTTTTCAAACAGAAATTTGCAATTGACTTTTTGCAATTTCATGTATGAAACCATCACCGGAAAAGCATTTTAACCAACTGGTTTGTTAATGGACATTAATATCTCGATTATTAGTCGTCCCCATAACAAACTCGTTTAAATAGATATCAATGATTAAATTAAAATTACGTTCTGAAAAATGACAAGTCAAAACCTCCTATGAAATACTTAAACTTTTTAACTAAAATAATTTTTACTTTTAAAGCACAACAATTTACTGCAAACGGTGGCAATGACAATTAATGCGGCTATTTCCACCACAAAAATCACCTTTGAAAGTTAATTAACATGGAACGCTGTCTTGCTATTTGAAGTAAATTTACATTCAATTTTTTTTTTTGGTTAAATTATTAATATTTACCTTTAAGACTATCCGGATGTATCTCGCTTCTTGTTGTTCAAAATATAAATTTTGATTATACTTACACCAATACATACTGTAATCTAAAACGTTATGCCACTTTTGCAGATCTACAGACACTTTAATGCAGTAACCGACCCAGCTGTTTCTGCAGATATTTATACAACGATTTAACAATTCGTTAAATAAATTTAGAAATAACGGTACTGACCCTGTTATATTCATTGTAATGTAATTGAAGCATTTTACTTGACCAAGATCCACAGTAATACCGTTTTTATCATCCTCATTGTGATAAGTACCGTCTCCCTCGGTTTTAGTTTCTTCGAACAACATTGTGGGGTTTAATCCAGAAATTACTTTAACATTATTTCCTGCTGCAGCATAATTTTTACCTTTCACTAAAAAAAAATATGTATATACAATTACACTGTACATATATATTTACATTGCTTACCAAAACGTCGTTGTGTTTCTTTTGTACCATGAAGTTCAATCGTTGCAAGAGCATTCAGCAGTTTTGTTTCATCCACTATTTTCGACGGCCAAACAATAGTTAAAATTTCGTTGCGTGTTAACGAAGGAAAGCGAACGCATTCAATGACCATGTTGTCTACGTCTTCGTTATGCTTGCACCAGTTGACTGCGATGTTAAAGATATCGATTTCCTCCACAGGAAACGCGTCTCTTGTCAACATGTTAACCATAGATTTCTGAAAAAGAGCATTTATGTTTATGTATAGCTACTTATTGTGGAGATGTTACTTGTGTGAGAACATCGAAAAAATCATATTGTAACTTTTGCAAAACGTGTTCATCAATAAAAGCATGACATATTTCTCTTAACTCGTCCATGTCATATGCGTTGGCTTTGTTTAAAAAGAAACAGACATTTGATAAATTTACAATGGAATTCATTTTTTCGTTTATACTTTTTTCCAGTGTTTCTAACGAATATTCGTGTGCTAGCTGCAATATATCGAATATATAATTTGCATCTTCCGATTCGATGACAACGGATCCTGCAACAGATTTTACACGATAATATAAATATTTAGTTACAATTTTGGCTGACTACCAGTATAAATGTAATACAGTATAGTTTCAAAAGCTTTTGAAGGCACATTCTGTAAAGCAATCTCAGCCTGAAAACAATTTATTAATGCTAATATTTCCATAAACCCTTTCTTACTTGTTTTAGGTCTTGCAGTAAAACTGACTCAAAATATTTGCACCTAGCAGCGAGAACAATCTGAAAGTTAAAATTTTATTCAAAAGTTATAAATTTAATCTTGTTGCAACTGAGTGAAAAACCTACTTTGTGTGCGTGAATTGTTTTATCAGACAGGATTATCTGAACGTCGGAAAACGTGTCCTTCAAGTAATAAGGTGACATATCTTCGTAAATTTTCGAAAAATCAGTAATAATTATTTTTTGTTGCGGTTCTTCCTCGTTGGCCATTTTGGTTGGTAGAAATCTAAAAATACTAGATAAGGAAACATTTTAACGGTGGCTGGAATCAAGTATTAATTTTACTGACTGTGATTACTGATAATTTAATTATGATTAAATAACTACTTTAAAATTAGACTCAGTTGGGTCCACCCCCTATCTTAAATTCATTCCCAATATTTTATTTCATTTTTTAATTTATTGCAAAGTGCGAGAATGAACTTTTTTTTATTTGATCAACAGACACGAAAATGGCCATTGTAATAAATATAGGGACAAAACAGTTTTTCTTATTATTTATGTTTATTTATAGCGTGTCATGTTTCAGACATCCAACATCCATCATCAGCAACTAAACATGTAAAAGGCGAAAAATTAATTATTGTTTTGAGGTTATGTCTTACTTGTCAAAATTTTAAAATAGAGAAATGACTATTGCACCTATTTCACATAAGGATACATTACATAAAACACACGCCCTATTTCTGATAATAGATAAGATAAAATATATCAAATTTAATATTGATTTTCTCTTTTACACATGCATTTCCTGGACAGGAACAGCCAAAGCGCTTGCGTGACTTACTTATTGTTGTTTGACGTTGGGGATATCTTAACATTCTTAACCTTCTGGCTTTTGGGCGGTGTTATTTAAATATAAGTCGTGGATAACCGTGAGACCCTTAACATTTGTTTATATGTTCACTGGTGATATCCATTAATTTTTTTAACCGACATTTGATTTCTATATGCCCTGTGCCCTTGTTCATCAGCTATGCAGTCAATTTTGAATGTTTTATTATGGATTTTTTAATTGTCGGAGAATAAATGGACCGACGAAAAACAAACGGAGTAAAACACAAGTGTTCACAGGACGAATGACTCGAACAAAATTATTCATGGGCCCAACTTCAGATCATTGTATTATTTCCATCTGAGTTTCTAATCAGAAGCCCGTCCGAGAATTAAAGAAATCAATCTTATCTCACAGTGTTAATCTCAGTAAATTTTCTTTGTTGTATAATTTTAATTGAACGTAAATATCCATGCTTTGCAATTTTAACCTCATATAATATTTTTATTTGCACAAGTTTATTTCACACCAGATCTTTTGTTTCATAAATCTTTGCTAAGTTTTGTTTTGTAAATATTTTGTTGATGAATGTTTCCACCGTATAAATTATTTGATATCCAATTTTAATCTCACATAAGAATTATTTGTTGTTTAAAATTTCACAAGATTTTATGGCGAATTTAAATATTGTTTATTGCTCTTTGAAATTTTAGCACTTGTTCAGTTGTTGTTAATATCAGAGTTATAAAGAATTGAACATTTAAAATGGAATTGAGGTTCAATAACACAGAAAAGTGGCAGAAGCGAAGTGCGGTTCCTAGTCGAGCTGGCGAGATCTTATCGCTTCACCTGCACAAAGGGTACGGGTTTGGATAGATTCAGCGTCGACTTGGACCAATAGTCGAGACCTAACTGCGGATCTGCGATCGTAATGGCCTAGTTTCGGACGGCATGTTCGTCATGGAGATGTGCTGTGTGGGTAGACTTTGCGATAGATAGAATCACCGTCGAGGGGGGAGAGCCACCCCAACCGGTAGCCCCAAACTCCGTTTATGCTAGAACGCCCAAGGGGTACTTTTGTTGTGCTCCTGTTAACTGCCGTAACTTTAAATTTGACGCCACACGCCCGTAATAACTTGTGTATTAGCATCCAGTTACTTTATTTCAGGTTTTGCTTTGTTTTTATTAAATTTGTTCAAGAACGTCTAGTCCGACCTTTTCTTATGACAGTTCAGTCCTGCTGATTCTGCCATTTGGTTAATCCGTCTAAAGCCCTATACGTGTGCATAATATTCTGCCCTCGTACTGCATCGACCGATCAAGTGTACTCAGGTTGCCAGACGTAATAGTAAATGGGTTTTAAATTGTATAAAATAACAGTCCTACACATGTAGCTGATGACTCCGAATTGAGTTTTTTCCCGAAACGTCCAGATTTTTGAAAAAAAGAAATCAAAATTATGAAACAACATCTTGCAATTTAATTTTGAATCTGTAACACCGAATGCTTTGAAATCTTGCAGATGGTTTACAGTTACGATAAGCATGATAAATTTTTATTCAAAATATATTTACTTATCCGCTCCAAAAAATTGATGACGTCAGCTCAAAAGTTTACTGAATAAATCCGATCTAAAATGTAGAAAATATGAGTCTGTACTTGTGATTTAGCATTCCATTCATATTTCTTGGATTTTCTTATACAGAGTGACTCAAAAAATCAATGAATCAGTCAATTTATTTTGTTCTTATTGTACTACCCTGCTATTATATAGGTATGCTTTTTAGGCAAAAAACCGAGTACGCTTACTTAATTAATTGGTCCTCTCTTCCGTGTTGAAGAGACAAAATCAATCGTTAGTTTCTTTTAATGCATATGCATGCATTTAATGCCACTGTTATGTACTTCAGTGCCGGCGCTGACACCATATGACGTGCTAGTGGTCGAATTCTTTCGAAGCATAAACATAAATAAAACATTTAAAGTTAAACAATTACTTGGAATTAACAATTCATTGTGCTTTAAATATCATTCATATTGTCCACATTTGCTCAGACCGTGGCCCCTTGGAATTTACACCCTCGAGACGCAGAAATTCAGGGGGTGTTATTTACCCTTCTGGAGCGAGGGAAGTTCTATAGAAATAGCCTTCGACCATATATTTCCAGGGGCTATACGATGAATTTACTATTAGCTCACCCATGGTTTCCACCAAGGCTATCGCATTTATTGTAGTCACGAGTTGTGCATCGCAGATGTAGATGGATTCTCTCCGAAGTTTTAATATCAACATCTTGACTTTAGCATTAACACGGACATTGACGAAATATTGCGATGCGCTGAGGTCATGTGTTGGGAATGATAAATTAATTCAACTGTACTGTGATAACCCAAACTTCCCGCCTTTAAATTGATCTTGAAAAGTTTGAAAGGCCCGCGAAAAATTTAAAAATTCAAAGTTTGGCCTTGGCTGTGATCGTCTAACAAATAGGAACCTACGCTCTGTGTGTGTGTGTGTTTTTTTTTTGAAAATTGGCGGGAAGACGTTCTTTCATACAAGTGAGCATATACTGCATGTGAGTTGAGAGCGCAAGAAATAATAGACAAAATTGTTTTCGAAGGGGAGCACGGCACCCCCTCACCGGAGGAAAGACGCTGCGACGATTTACTCCTCAGCGCAAAAACCCCCTTGTTATTATTCCCGGACATATTACATTTCAAACACCTTAAGATATATGAAAAAGACACTCGCGAATTGACAGGCATACACATATGAAAAACGAACAATCCTATACATCTGTTTGGAATCAATGCAAATATTTGAATATCGCAAATTTAATAAAACAAAGCAAAATCCGACTTAAGTAACTGGATGCAAATACACAAGTTATTACGGGCGTGAGGCGGGAGATTTTAAAGTTACGGGAGTAAACAGGAGCACAACAAAAGTACCCCTGGGGGGTTGTAGCATAAGCGGAGTTTGGGGCTACCGGTCTGGGACTGTTCTCCACCCCTCCACGACGGTGATTCTATCTATCACAAAGCCTACCCCACACGCATATCTCCATTACGAACGTGCCCTGCCGAACTAGGCCATTACGGTCGCCAGACCCGCAAAAGGATCTAGACTAGCACGAGGCCTAGAACTTTACAACATCGGCGGCCTCCCCTGAATCTATCCAAACCTGTGGACTTGTACAGGTGACACGATCAATCTTGCCAGCAGTAGCGTAGCTAACTTCCACTGCCCCCCCCCCCCCCCAAAGTTTATAGTAAGCGCCCTCATACACCAAATTTAAAAAGTAATATCAATATGCATTTACTCGTTTGCACATTTTAAAAATATATATCGGTTACGTTACGCTGTGCGCCCCCCCGCATTGCAGGGTCTGCGGGGGTGCTATTTACGCCACTGCTCGCCAGCCAGACTAGGAACCGAACTTCGCTTCTGCCACGTTTTCTGTCTTATTTAACCTCAATCCCATTTTTAAATATTCAATCTCTTATAACTCTGATATTAACAACACTAAACAAGTGTTAAAGTTTCAACGAGCCATAAACAACATTTAAATTCGCCATACAATCTTGTGAAAATTTAACCAACAAATAATTCTTGTGAGCTAAAATTGGACATCAAACAATTTATATGATAGAAACATTCATCAACAAATTATTTACAAAACCAACTTAGCAAGGATTAATGAAACAAAAGATCTAGTGTGAAATAAACTCGTACAAATAGAAATATTACCTGAGGTTAAAACTGTAGAACTTAAAATTTACGTTCAATTAAAATTATACAACAAATGAAAATTACTGAATTTAAAACTGTGAGATTGAGAAATATCGTATGAGGTGAAAATTTCCAAAGTTAACAAATTTTACATGAGATTAATATTTGCGACACTTTAACAACGATTCAAACAAAGAATTTACATTATGTCAAATTATATCATGATCTAAGTGATTGGTTGCTTCAAAAAAAAACAATGTTTACTTTGAAAGTTTAAAATACCGTGAACTGGTTACCCCAACAAAACTAATAATAATCAAACACAAAAATATCCAATCATCGCTCCGAGGGAAAAAGCGTCTCGGTGATGTAAATTTTAAATCGTTGGGAGGGCATGCCTTGATAAATTAATCAATCTGTAGCGTTGTGGTGGCATGCATCGATGAATTAATCAATGTGTAGCGTTGTGATGGCAGGCCTCGATGAATTAATCAATCTGTAGCGTTGTGATGGCATGCCTCGATGAATTAATCAATCTGTGGCGTTTTGAGACATTCCCCGATGAGTTAATCATGATAACGATGATAACCGCCTAAGGGAAGAAAACATTTTAAACCCCTCCCGCCAGTTCACAGTATAATGAACTTGTTTAACTGCCGTAAATGAACTATTAGCAATCTTGCGTGAAGAATTTAGAAGTGTTATAATGTAACAGTGGCGGCTCGTGGTGATTTTTGATGGGTGGGCAAAGCATTATAGGTAGGTTATTACATGTATGAAATAAATATATATACATATATATAATTAATCATTTTTGTGAGAACGTGTTTTTGTTTTGGTGCTGCATGTCAATCAATATAATATAACAAATATTTTATGTATATTACATATATATTATTTTATAAATGTTACTTACAATGTCGGTCAGCAAGAACCAACGAGAACTTCGAAGACTATAAACTCAGATAATGATCCCAACATGTAAAGATTTTGAAATAACATGACGAGAAAACATTAAATTTTAAACCTTTGAGATAAGCTACACTTAGAAAAAGCAGCAATTTGGAAAATTATTGTAAAAGCAAAATTAAAAATGCCAAATCAAACAAAACATAAATTCTCAAAATACTAACAAAGTTAACAATAACAAATAAAATAAAAATAATTCCAAAATAATCATTTTGAAGACCACTAATTACCAAAGACTCCTCCAAAAAACTTTTTAAATTTATCATCGAATTTACTTTAAGAGAAATTTGCGATTCATCTTGTCCCCGAAATTTATGTTTTTGTGTAGCCAAGAAAATTATCATATCGAATAAACGCCGAATTTAAGAGAATTTTCTATAGTTTCATTTCGTTTTCCAGGTAATTTTCGTTTATTCAGATTGGTCATGTTTATGTAAAGCAGTAGCGATATATTTTATATCGCTCTTCTTGTGGAATTCTAAAGTGTTCGTAATTTAATTTTATGTTAAATAGCAGATAATTCCAACAGTTTTGTTTGTTGTTTCACTACCGATCAACCAATCAATAGGTACCCAATATTTATTGTCCGAACTTTGATTAAAGCCTTTATTACTGCCACGAGAGTTTGTGATGACCAATTGTTTCATTTCGGGACATGATCTTAATTTATAAACAAATAATTCATAAATATCAAGTTCCATACTACTGAATTTATTTATTAAAAACAAAAACTCAATGTCTTTAATGCCTTCTTTACCACCTCTCTAATATTATTTGCACAGCTTACAGTAGGAGTTGCCATTAAAAAAAATTGCTAGAAAGTACCTACTTTGGTACCCGCCTAACTATTCGGTAATTTGAATAAGCTATATTTTATAATTAAATGCACTATACAGACTGCAGTTTCTGATCTGACTGAATTCAATTGAGTCGTGTCTCCGACGAGGACGAACCATGCCGAGTGCTTCCGATTTTCAGGGTGGATTTGCCCACCCATGCTAGAGCCAACGCGTAACAAACCTGTGCGGACAGTCTGAATTAAATAATAAATTAAGCGTATATTTAACTTTTGTTGACTCTGCTACAGCTATATTTATGAAACAAAAATGCATATGTAATAATAAAAAAATACACATGTCAGATACGTACTGCAATAATAAATGTATTACTTATTCTCATCATTGGTTATTCGGATTTTTAAATTTATAATTCAGTATAAAGTTTACACGGTGTCATAATACAAGAATATGATTATTACAAATTTTCATTTGATATGAAAAAGTATTTATTAATTATTATGGCGTTGCTCTTTTCTATAACAATAGTATTCAAGAATTTTCGCATAACATTATTTTCCTTACTACCTTACCCATATTTCAATAGAGTAATAAAAATAATTACCTCTATACTTTTACAATACAGAAGAAGTAAAAAAATCGAAATTAATTTATTGAATCCTTGAATCGAATATCGAGAGATCCGATTCTGCAGCGTTTGAGATATACGTTGAGGCCACGGCGTCCTGCCCCGCTTGAAGCGAGAAAAGACGCGCGTTTCGAATTCTTTACTCTCAGTTACGTACATAGAAAACCGAACGTATGTCGTTGCTTACAATCAAGAGGGTGGACCAGGGTAGACTAGCCCATCCTCACATGAACCGTATAACGCCGAGATCTGACGCACTTTTTTACAACTGCAATTTCTCAGTTGCGGAAACTGCGGGATGTAATGAAGAAAATCCGTTGGCTTAAATGATGTTTACGACGATAATTATTTGTGTATACATATAAAATTTTTGAAAAAAAAAAAAAATCAATATTTTACTTCGTATCATAAACAATCAAATAGGGTGGGCATTGCCCACCCTGCCCACCCCGAAGAGCCGCCACTGTAATGTAACACTTACGTATATGCATCCAGAAGCTTATTCGTAATTAAACAATAAGGTGTTTTTAATGACTATGTGAATTTCATGAAATCTTCTAGGAAGTGATTTATTTAAATAATCCTGATTGTTAAACTGTGTTTGCACTAGCTGACTATTAAGAAAAACTAACTTGATTGGTGAATTTACAAACAATGAAACAAATGTACAGCACGTGTTTCGCGTTGGCCGGAAGTCCGGATTTCTCCGATTAAAAGGCTGCAAGAATTAGCCGCGCAGGTTGGGGACAACAAGAGTGACGTCAGTTATGATTGATTGTCGTTAAACAAAGGCTTCCTCCCGTTTTATTAACTATCAAACCAACTAATTTAAACCTAGCGCTTGCCACGTGTTTACACTCACACAAGCACATTCATAATGACGCTACGCCATGCAGCTTCTCTACCAACCCTCTAACCCTGTAACTAAAATTCCCTAGCGCTAAATCGTCCGATTACCAAGCAAGCATTTCCGTGCACACGGTTGCCTATGTTTAACGATTTCCTTTTTGTGATTGAATTTTTTTTTCTTTCAAATTCAAATTATTCAAGCGTGATTTCGCGCTGTTAATTAATTTCAGCACGAAAACTTTGATTTAAATTCGGTCACCACAGTACCTATTACCAATCGTTATCTATTTAACCATGGTAAAAGGAAACATTGTGGTACCATGAACAAAACTACGTGCACACTGTCTTGTCATTTTTAGTATCGAAATCATAAACTTATCTATTGTTGCCCATTAAGTTATAGTCTCCAGATATCAACTACTTTTTACATTTTTATTGCTTCCGTTTATTGAATAAAATACTGCTCCTACATTTTGTTTGGTTTTTGGATGCTCTAATTCACATTTGGTTTATTATAACTTGTCTAGATCAAGGAGAGCATCCCCTGGCTGCCCCTGCTACGCCCTTATGAAATATTGAGAAACTTTAAAAGTACCAAATTGTCCAATGGACTCCATTACTTATCCTCGATAAGAAAAACAACTTGAAAGTGTTTATGTTTATACATCGCATCGGAAGAATGTCACGTAGAAATTAGTTTTCGATTTTGTAGATTCCAAATTTAATTTCAAAATTTTGATTTTTTTTCCAAAAATCTGGACGTTTCGGATAAAAACTCAATTCGGAGTCATAAACTACATGTATAGGACTATGTTATTTTATACAATTTAATCACTGTTTCTATGTTTCGGGAGGCTCAGTGCGGCTTTTAAATACCAAGAATACTTAATTATTAGAGAGCGGATTTCTGTCGGGCTACGTCACGATTATTAGGTGGGGACGCGTGAATCGCTGTGAATCAGTAGCGGGTAATAATCAGTGCATTTAATTTTCACTTATTCCATAAATACAATTCACGAAACCTTAATTCGTAAAACAGCTAGGTAAATGAGAACGGGAATTAACAGCAAAGTACAACGAAGCACCGTTATTTTATTCGAAAATAGACGAAGTGCAGCTAGTAACTGCTCTGAATTCCCATCCCGCACGAGCCGTACCGAGTTTGGCCTTGCCAAGCCCGACAGAAATCCGCTGTCTATTAATTATACAAAAGTTGCGAACTGGCGTTAAGTTTGTAAAGTCTCTATCTGTTACGATTTCAAATAAAAATAAAAGATATTGCCTACAACAGATGGTTCTAAAAGGAAAATTGTAATTGTAAAATAAATTTAAAATGGGATCTGTTAATAAAAATCTTTGATTAGACGAATGTTCATTTCATATCATTCATAACAAGGAGGAACACAACATATAGGTAATGTATATAAAATTTATTTGATAAATTTATGCTACATTAATTTGTATTCTAGATCACAGGATATGTATGTATATATCAAATTTAATTATTAATGTACAAAAATAGAATTTTGGGAACTACTTTCCGTCATTTCTTACATAATAACATCGAAAATCTGCCAAAAACTCCTTGAAGTTGCTCGATGTCTGTTTAGGAAATACTTTGTATAAGAAAAATGTCATTAGATTCGTTGTCAAAAGTGTAACTAACCTTATTAGAAGAAATATCACCCATAATTTTAATGACATTAACTATTCTTTCTTTAAAACGAAAAGTTTGACGCCTGCTGCTTTTTTTTGGTGTTTCAGTTGTCAAGCTTTCAACTGTCTGCCAGTTTCTATAATCCACAGAGGTTTCTATTCTCTCAACATGTTTATAAAATCGTAACATAACTTTCATGTACGAAATCATGTATGGTTGATCTAAAATGAAGGAAATATTATATTGGTTATAGGAGAGAATAACATCCTTACCTAAAACCAGCACTAAGGGGAACTTATCACAACGTCCTTCCCTATTTTGGTGAACGAAAAAAAAATATCTGAGAAATATATTTTTAAAATATGTTTACATCTTACGACGAGTTTTTCCCTTCTTATTGTTTTAAAAAAGTGGCTGATGTAAACATACTTTAGTCTAAAGTAACTTACCACATAAATATTTTGGTTTCAGAATATATAACGTTTGATGATGGATATATAATATGGTTATGTACTTCAGGAACTGTGCTGTCGAAGGAAACTTCAAATTTACCAAGTGGAATTAGCTACAAAAAAATATTCCCTTTGTTACATTCGTTTAAATTACTGTTGTAAGTAAATACTTAATTGAACTAAAGATTAAAGATCTAAAAGCGTAGTTAATTAATATCTAGTTAAAGTTTTCATGAAAACAAGCCCAAGCATCAAATTTTTGAAGAAAATGAACAAACAAATGTTAATTTGCGATTTGAAATGTTTAGGAAAACTTTAGAATATCTGCAGATTTCAGGACAGTCAAATTTACAGTTTTGATTTTTCTTACAAAAATCTGGACGTCTGAGGTTAAAAATAAGAACGTACAAATAAACTACAAGTGCAGAACATGATATGTTATCAAATTTAAGTAGCTTCATACACGTTATTAATAAACTACATCTAGTTGGACAACAGTAAGTCCAATAGTTTCTTCATAATCTAGGGGTTATGAAAATCTGAAATTAGCTATTCGTCAATTGAACCTAGTAGAATACTAAAAATAGTCTACATTTTTAAGCTTAGTGTTTGTCATATTAAATACTCGAATTTTGTATTATTAAAATGACGTAAAGATTTACAAAACTTGGAACAATACGTACCTTTGAAAAGACTGCTCGAATGTACCTAGCTTGTTGTACTCCATCAAAATACAAATTCTGTTCATAACTACACGCATACTGACTATAGTCAATTAGTTTGTACCACTTTCGTTGGTTAAATGAAGTTTCTAGATAGTAAGAGCTATAAAATATTCTAAAATTTTTAAACATAAAGCTAAACTGTGAGACACTTTGGGTACATCAATACTTACCCTAACATCTTCAATTTTACGTGATTAAACGATCTATTTAGACCAAGGTCTAAAGTAATGCCATTTACATCATTCTGGTCGTGACGAGCACCTTCGTCCTCGTTTTCAGTTCCTTCCAGTAACTTTAACGTCTTTATTCCGGAAATTACTTTAGCGTTGTACGCTGCTACCGCAATATTTTTATTTATTACTAAAAGCATTAAACATACATTGTAATACTTTTTACTATACGTAACTGAACAATTAACAAATCATATACTTACAATGTGCCGTATTTGTACTGTTATTTCGAATGCTCACGAGAGCATTCAGTAACCGCTCGCTCTCTATTATTTTAGAGGGCCAAACAACATTGAAAAGTTCGTCTATCGTTAATTTAGTCAATTTAACACATCCAGAAACTAAGTTATTAACATCTGTATTGCTTCCGCACCAGCTTGCTGCTATTTCAAAAATTTCGGTTTCGTGGGCAGGGAAGCAATCTCTCTCCAGCAGTTGAACCATGGATTTCTGAAAAACAACGTTCATATCAAAAATGACGGAATGCATGGCACCTTACCTGTGTTAGAACATTCAGCAAATTTGTCCCCAGAATTTTTGAAAGATTGCTGTCTATAAAAAGAAGACATATTTGTTTCAACTCATCCATCTGGAGTTCGTTGGATTTATTCAGAAATAAACATATGTTTGATGGGCACATAATAGAAACGGTTTTTTCGTATAATGTGTCTTCTAATGATTTTAGCGAGTATTTACGTGCCAATTGGATTACGTCGAATAGGTCGTCTCCATATGACATTTCGACTAAAACAGATCCTATAACAAATTTTAGTAAAGAAAAATCGTTAAAAAACGGAGGTATTTTGGCCCAACCGGTATAAATATAAAGCAAAACTGCTTCAAAAGCTTTTGACGGTACATCCTCTAGAATGATCTCCGACTAAAATGGGTTATTTATTTTTAGAAATTTTATCCAGAGTGGCTTACTTGTTTGGGGTTTTCGATTAAAATGGATTCAAAATATTTACATCCGATAGCGAGAACTATCTGGAATTTTAATTTGGTTAAATTCATCCTATTTTCAATTGGGTGAAAAACCTACTTTGTGTGCGGGGATGGTTTTATCACATAAGATTAAATTAACGTCAGAAAACACCTCTTTCCGGTAGAAACCAGACATATCTTCATAAATCTTACAAGAATCAGTAGTAGTCATCATATTTTTAGGTGGTTGTTCTTCGTTTGCCATTTTAACTTATAAAGGCCTGAAAATATTACGAGTAGATATATATTTTAACAGTCACTTGGAGAAAATTTTGATTACAATTGTATTACTTATAAGTATTACTGATTACTGCCATCATTCGGCAACCATCTTAAAAAAAAGGCTGTAATTGTTTTTTTAATTATCTTCGTAACCATCATGAGTCTAACAAAAAATTTCTAAAAGACAATTTTTTGTTGAGAGTATAATTATCTATTAGTTTTAACAGTCAACAATAAAAATGTTATGGGAAGAAAAATGTGAAAAATAAGGGGGTGCAAAACTTTGATGTAGTCTTCTCAAATCAATTTTTTGCCAGTCCAAAACCAAATGCAACGATGTGCAAGTTGATCCCACGAAAAGGAAGATATAAAACTGTACGACTAATTACATCAACTTTTCATCCCTTAGTTGTTCATATTTTTTTGTGCACAATTTTTTTAATACTAACGCTACGTCTAAAATGTATGAATAGACTATATAGTTACATTTATCTGTTATTACCATTAGATTTATTAACTTATTGTTAAGTAAATTATTATCAATGATATCACTTACCAAGGAATTTTAAAATCGGACACTTTTAACACCTTGGCTACACAAATACACAGTCGTCGTGATTTGTTTTGTTCCACACATATACTGATTAATCTAAAACTTTTCAGATAAAGGGGGGTGTGGTGAGCACGTAGGGGATCATAGAAAGAGAGCTACTATATAGAGCTAGTGTATTGGAAAGAAATAGACATTCTTATGTGCACCCATCCCAACCTTCGTTTATCTGAAATGTTTTGGATCAACTGTACAAACCCTCTACTCTGTTCGTACCGTGTTCGTCCACATTCATGAGCGAGCCAGTGGCGTAACTAGTAATATCAAAATTGTGTAACATTTGTAATTCTCAATCGTTTACTGGATGTTTAAAATGAACAGATTCGCGAACTAGGGAAGTGTACTAACCAAACATATTTTCTTTAAAAAATAATAATTTCTTCAGGATGAGTCACCAAGCGTGTGTTTCTCTATAATTCATTAATTATTAGAAATAGAAAAAAAATCAAAGACCAAACTTCTACGGTTCTTTGGAGATTATACTATTAATTATTTTTGACTATACAGAGTGTCCTATTTTTAAAGAATAACACACAACTTAGTTTTTTTTAATGAAACATCCCACGTATCTTTACATCATATTTTGGTCATCAATGATCTCTATCAATCTCTATACTGTGGTATAAGCGTTTAACCTAGGTTTAACAAGAACGAAGCCGCGTATGTCATAGGACATAGTTTTACTTTTGTGAGTGAATGACATCACTTTACATTTCAGAGATAAAAGTTGTTTTTGGAGCACCAGTTATCCACAGCGTCTAAGTTTCTTTGTAATTTCAACGAGTCAGCAATGGAATTAATTACACTATAAATCTTAAGATCATTTGCAAACAGGAGATAACAAACGTCCAGAACATCTGAAACATCATCAACTGAAGTGTTCCAGTTTGCTCAACAAGAGGCTATAATCGATACGGTCAAACGCTTTGGGAAAGTCGGTATAGATAACGTCAACCTGCTGACAGGTATTATTATTATTATTAATAAAAGATAAAGGGCAGAGGGCAGGCCCTGTTATGCCTACGGAACTGTACAATTACAACAATATGTGAACAATCTATAAACTGTCAAATCTAGATTTAAAAACATTAACATTAGGCGACTCTGGACGACTTCCTCCGGCAACTTATTCCAAGTGTCAAACACTCTGTTTGTTACGAAGTGCTGTCTTACAGTTGTACGAAAGTTCTTTTTTTTTCAGTTTGAAGCAATGACCTCTAGTTCTGGAATATGGGCATAAGGTAAATAAATCCTGCATCAATGGATTCTCGAGCCTCAACGATTTGAAGGTGAGGGGATGTAACCCTCGAATTCTTCTGTCTTTCAATGTGGATAGCGACATTATGATAAGACGCTCAGAATAAGACGGTCAGAAAGGGTCATTACCATAGGGAAGACGAGTCGTTCTTTGTTGTACTGACTCCAAACGATTTTGATCACCAATGATCACAGGCCACCAAACGTTATTTGCAAACTCCAGTACTGGTCTTACAAAATTTTTATGCAACTTTAACGTGGTGCTTACACTTGGTTTTATAAAAGATCTTTGTAGTAAATACCCAAGGGAATTTGTATGTGATCACTCCATGTCAATTCTGAGTCAATTGGGAATTAGTACTGGTTAATACTACTCCATCCATTGAGTAATTATATTTGCTGTTATTCGGTCCTATATGTAGCACTGAACATTTCTGCTTATTTATTGGGAGGAGCCACTTCTTGGACTACTGATTCACTATTAAAATATCTTTACTCAAAATACTGCAATTCGTGGGACTGTCATTGTAAATTTTTAAGTCATCAGCGTAGAACAAACACCTGACTGGATTTCTGTTTTTAAATCCGCAATATACGTTATAAAGAGCAATGGACCCAGCACCGAACCCTGCGGCACTCCACTTTCCACAGCTGTCAGATCACTCAGTGATGCACCGACTTTAACTCTGAAACTTCGATTAGTTAAGAATCCTTTAATCCATTCTAGTAACAGTCCTGTAATGCCATAGTGTCGAAGTTTTAACAGAAGATTTGTTATTGAAACTTTGTCAAAGGTTTTACAAAAATCAAAATACACAACGTCGGTAGCAACACCACGGTCGAAATTTTTGGTCCAATCTGATACGGCACAAAGAAGATTAGTGGACACAGACTTTTTTGGGACAAATCCGTGCTGTTCGGCAGGAAGGACGTTGTTCGCAAGCAGAAAATTTCTTATCTCATCGGAAATAATAGATTCCATGATTTTGGCTATGACCGCCGTTAGACTAATTGGTCTGTAGTTCACAACTTGAAATTTATCGCCTTTTTCAAAGATCGGCTTTACAATGGCCAATTTCCAATCTTCAGGAAGTTGACTGTTTTGAAAAGATTGTGTCATTAAAATCTTCAAAGGTATGCACACGGTCTCAGCACATTTATTAAGAACTGTCCGAGTAATCCCATCTGGTCCAGGTGAGGTGGTTGATTTAAGTTTACTGAACTTGATTTTAATTAATTCCTCCGGGAACGCTATATCACTAAGAGCAAAATTGACTTTCGGTGTAGATAACAGAGGTGTTGTGTTTGTTACTGTCTCTCTAGTATAAGATTGCGCAAAAGTCTCAGCAAATAAGTTGGCAATGATTTCGTCATAAAGTTATTATGACACCATTCTCGTTACGAAGTTGTGGATTTCTAACAGGTCCGGTGAGCCTATTACGAATATATCTGTAGAGTATCTTTGGATCTTTAGAATTTGCTACACGGAGTTCATAAGTTTTTTTTAGCCGCGTTTATTTCTACAGATAGACGGTTTGAATAAGTCCGAGGAGCTACATAGTCAGTGTCAGATCCACAATGCTCTCTTTTTACAAACCATCTGGAGTAATTTTTTGCTAATCCACGGTTTTTTCGTTGAACGAGTCATAGTTTGTTTAACAGTATTTTTGTCAAATAATTGCACTAAGTGTTCTTTAAATATGATCCAGTTATCATTTACAGACGCCGAACTCAGCAAAGTCTTCCAGTCTATATTACTGATGTTATGGTTCAGCACTGCATAGTCAGTATATAATTTAGTGTGGACTGTTTTCTTACCCTGAAGATTACAAAAAAGTTGCAGCTGTGCTGACAAAGTAACATGGTCAGAAATACCAACAGGAGAGCCGTAATTCAAATTTGAAAGAAGATTCACGTCTGACAATATTATGAGATCAAGGGTCGACGGCGTTTGATTCTGTCTGTATCTCGTGGGTTTATTCACAAGTGGATGTAAATGACTATTGTTTATGAAATCAAGTAATAGTTGAGAAGATTGGTCCGGAGCGTAATTAGCGATTCCAGATTGTCATGGTCATTTGCCAATTCCGTCAGGGTTCGAAACAACTGAACATCGGTCACAGAAGTCCTATAAATGCAGCTTAGTACGAAACACAATTGACAATTGGAAATTTTTATAAATAATGATTCGACATTATCAATCACAATATCTAAAGGTGATATAGACAAGGTGGAAACTATTTGGGTAGACAGATAAATGCATACACCTCCTCCTCTTCCTGATTTACGATCTGATCGGTAAAGAATATAATTTGGTAATGATACTATTGAATCAGTGATATTTGAATTCAACCAAGTTTCAGTTGTTAAGAGTATAGTAGGTTTCTGCTGCGTAACGAGAGCTGTTAAATCATCAAACTTTGCGGTCAGAGATCCAAGATTAGTGTACATAATTGAGCAATTAAAAAATTTTTCGCTTTGTGACATGAATATGTACTATTAAAAGAATTCTAAGTTAGGTTCGCCACCAGATCAAGCCTGGTAAAGGTCATAGGATTTTTTAAGCTTACGCTGAACCTTGACCACACGGTTCTTGATACTTTTATGCGTCAATTTAGGATAAACTTTGTAGAACATTTCGAGTAGGCCATCAATATTCCTTGTATACACGCAAAAGCAACAGTAAGTATGTTAGATTGTCCAACGGCTTCTTCCATAAATTTGACCAAAGATTCAAAATCTATCGGAAAAGACGAATCAGGTAAGTCAAATAATTCCTTAATAGGTTCAAGTAACTCAGGGACCCCAGTAAGACTTTCTGTAGAATCGGATGTTTTTATCTTCTTCTTTGACGTACCAGCTAAATCTTGAACACGAGTTTCTTCAATAGGATTATTTACAAGATTCGGTATCTCCAATTCATCTTCAGGGGACGACTGGTTGGACTCAATTTGTCTTCAAGGTTCACCTTGTGCATTATCTACACTTGACTCCACCGTAGTATTAGTTTCAACATTAATTGTACATTCACTTGCTATATGTCCTGCTTTTCGACACTTACAACAAGTTTGATCTCCGAGGGTGAAAAATATTCCGTACTCAGTCTCTTCGTACTTGATGAGCGTGGACGAAGGAAGTTCAATCTCGTCGGTAGGCTGAACAAAGATTTGTCTTCTGAAACTCAAAACGTGGCTGTAGTTCTCATTTTGGATGCTTGCTCTAAGAAAATTCATAGACGACACCGTTTTGTATCCAAGCCTTTTAATGTTTTCAAGTACGGAATGTGGAATGGCAGGGCAGACGTTTGAAAGAATGATGCGTTTCGCAGGAGATATAAACCGCCTGACTCCTGTCTCATAATCTTGGATTTTTATATTGGGATGCTCTTTTGTAACAATCTGGTCGAATCCTTGCTAGTGAGATAAATATATACATATTCTATTGTTAGCTACGCGAGAAGCAAATAATACGGCATAGTCTGTGAATTTCAGGTCACTAATTACATTTAGGACAATGGCTTGTTCTTTTTTTAGGAATTGAAAAGTTGAATTTGGACTTGTTGACATCTTGGCAGAACCCAGCCAAACGGCTGTTTATTGGGTTGCCGAAAAATCAAGGGAACACAAGTAACTTATCTGACCACTACTATCAGTGTTTTGATAATTCAGGTTAACAAAAAGAGTGCAAACGAATTCTAGACTTTCGTAACCAGTTTACAAATACGATGCAAAGATGATACCTTTATAACTGCTACATCTTGAGGTGTGGTAGATGACAATACACAAAATCAACAATTAATTCGATTTAAATCACCGACACAGGCAGCTTTTTCTTGCAGCACTTTAAT